CAGCAAGACTCTGCATGCACATTCTCCCATGTTGAATGTGGGTCCTGTTGCAGGCTGGGCATTAGCCAGCAGGTCCACAGGAAGCCTCTGGAGGACTGAGCTTTGGAAAAATGGGTGCAACTTTGTGGTTAATGTGCTAACCATATTGGTAGATGCCAGTTGTAAAATTATTTCTATCATATAGAAAAGGACAAAAGAACGCCTCCTGCAGGTTTGCTGCTAGGGCAAGCCCCTGTGTGCTTCTGTGGCGTGTCTTTCAGCATGCATTTCTATGCACACGCAGCAGTTTTAAACAAGGAATAGCTTGAGGGAGCGTGTGAGTTAAGGCTGCTATCCCAGCCAGCTTCCTGTACTGGGAAATGCAGCAGATGTACCGTGCCTGCGGGACGCTCGGCCACCTCCTGGCCCTTCTCTCGCTGGCCCTTCTATGACAAGTGAGCATCCTTGCCTTTTATCTTGTGCACCATGCTATGAGAGCTTTGCCCTAAGTCTCCAGGCCAGGGGTTACTAGGTCACAGCGATGAGCATCACAAAGCCAAAGGTACTGTTTCCTGTGCTGTGAGCAAGCTCTGCTTTAGGTGGGGGGACAAGCTGAGCACAATGGGTGTCTAGGGTGACTCCCAGGCCTGCTTGAGTCCCCATGCCCTGTGCCATCTATGTCTTCTGTCCAACCCCTTTCTCCTGGATCCTTTCCAGCTCAGTTTCCCCCCGGGACAGGGCCTGCCCTAACTGTAGGTAGCAAGTATCCGAGAGAGGACAAACTGAATGACAGCCATCTCTGGGTTTGGGACGATGGGTCCTGGCCCCTTTTGTGTTGCACGGCTTAGGCTTTAGTTGTAGCTTTGCACTGTGACCCCTCTCAGACCTCTGTGGATTGTAAGTGGGACTTGGATACTTGCTAAGGTATGCCGCCACTTGAGGCTTTGGATCGAGAGGACATGGAACACTGCCAGAGCACTACCACCTGTAGTGTTGATCTGAGTGTGGGCACTGGGTGGCCGGGAGGAGGACGGAGCTTTGCTCTCAACATTGTAGTCCCGGAGGAAGCTGTAGCCTGGCTTCTTTATTCAGCAGCTTGCAGAGTAGATGTCTGTTATTCACCCCGCATCAGGCACTGCTGGTGGCTTCAACAATAAGCAGAATGGACAAAATGTTCCCTACTGATGTGTTTCTGATGGTCAAATTTGGGGAGACAGGCAGTAAACAAGATGCTGTGTGTCAGACATTAGTGGAGGAAGGAAGGGAGGAGGTGTGCATCTCGGGGAAAGCCCCCGGATTCCTAGAGAAGAGCATTCCCGGAGGAAGGAGCCGCTTGTGCGATGACCTAGGGCAGGATTTTGTCCCAAGTTTTTGCTGGTAGGAAGGCCAGTGTAGTTCCAGTAGTAGGAGGGAGTGGAGCAGTGGGGCCTTGATTTCAGTGCCGCTATCCTCTGGAGGAGGTATAGGAAATACACCCAGGAAGTAAGGGCAGGAAGCAGGAAGACCAGGCAGGAGAGATGCTGAACCCGAGCGAGTATTCCCAGTCCTGGTGAGAACTGGAAGGTGAGGGATGAAGATTTGAGGTGACTCAGTGGATTTGAGGAAGATACAGAACCTTGATTGGCAGTGGGGGTGACCCCTTTTCCTGTGCCTGTGTTACACCTTCAATGGCTGACTGGGGAGTGTGGCTTTTGTCATAAGAGAAGTCCCAGCTGAGGACAAGTTGGTGTCATTACTGTGGACAAGAAGGGTGTAGGGCTTGGTACTCTGCCACTAGGATCATGTGACATCACTGTGACTTCTTTCCCTTTATCTATGCTTCAGCGCAGAAAGACAGATATTTGTCTGAGCCCACCCAATGCTGCCTGTCCCCTGTTCCCCAGCCTTCTGTTTTTAGGCCCTTGTTGTCTACTGTGGCTTTTTGGGAGGCTTCTATTTTGGGCTCTCTCCAGCCCCATTGGCAGAGGAAAGAGGCTAGAAGCCATTGATAACCTGTCCCAATGACAGGTCTGAAAAGTAGGTCGCCCCCAAGCCTGGAGCTTTAACACCATGTCTGTCATTGACCACATATCCAGTTTCTAGCAATGACCTCATGGATTATATGTGGCTCTGGTCATCCCATGGTCCCTCCTCCCTGCAGTAGAAAGGGCTTGTTCATCTGCCCTGGCTCCACAGACAGCCCTGCCCCTGGCTGGCAGGAGGAGTGTCCATTGCAGGCACTGGGACAGACAGATGGACTGGCAGCATCCCTAGTGTCGTATTTCATAGGACAGATTGACAAATCCAATCAGCCTGTGTGAGGATGCTCTGGGAACATAGACAAGCATGGGTCAAGACTAAAGCACAAACCATCTTTTAGAGAGAGAGAGAGAGAGTGTGTGTGTGTGTGTGTGAGAGAGAGAGAGAGAGAGAGAGAGAGTGTGTGTGAGTGTCTGTTTGTGTATCCGTCCATCTGCCTGTCGTGCTTTGGAGATCAGAGGATAGCTTGTAAGTGTGGTTCTCTCCTTCCCATGTGGGTCCTGGGGATTGAACACAGGTCAGACTTGGTGGCAAGTGCCTTTACCTGCTGAGCCATCTTGTGGGCCCCTACAGCCCTTTTTGTTTTGTTTTATGCAGTTACATAACCACTACCCAGCACAAGAAATAGAACATTTCTTCCTTCTAGAAGGTTCCCTGGGCTCCTTTCCATCTACTGAGAGTACAGCCTCATTTTGTCATCACTGTTGGTCAGCTTTACTTGTTCTGAATTTCAGACAAAGGGGGCCATGGAGTGTTTGTTCTTTTGCATCCGGCCTCTTGGGTTTATCATTCAAATGTGGATTCACCTGTGTTTTTGTGTAGTGTGGTTTGCATTGTGCCTTTTTGTTTTATTGCTCCAGTGTCCCATCGCATCAATACACATTATTGATTTTGTTCTGAACATCATGAAGGCCTCAGTGGAGGGTCTTTTTCAGAGCATGGCTGCCAGCCTGGGCACAGCTTGTTGAGTGAAAGAACGGGTTGTGTACCTGTGTTCTGACCATTAGTGGAGTTTAATCAAGGCTGGATGTTAACCATATAGTGGTCATGATGTTCATGGACTGCTTCTCACTCTGGGAATCTCTGTGAAGACCATGCAATCACCCATGAAGACCTCTGGGCGGGACCTGGAACCCACAGTATATTCCCCCTGGCAAACTTAGTCTAGAACATGGCCCTTGCTCTGGTAGGCCCATAGCAGTCAAACAGCGGTCACAGCCCTTGTCCTCCATGCGGTGATGTGACCCCTCGGTCCTTCCCTTGGGAGAAGGAATGAGGACCCATCTGCAGCAAGTAGCCTAAGATAATATTTGCAGTAGGAGGGACATGCCCAGGCCAGTGTGAGGAGACTGGATCTCAGAGCTTTGCAGTGTGCCCATGGCCACACCACTGCCCTTTCGGGAGGCCTTGCTTCCCATGTCTGTGCTAATGGACCCTTGTTTGCCTTTTCCAGAGGTGGTAGTGGGAGTCCATGGAAAGAACAAGCACGTGGCAGTGCAGGGTGGCCCTTTGGTGGCTGCTGGAGCCTAATTCTGCCATCCCAGAATGGCTTTTTGCTTGGGGAAAAACTCAGCTCAGCTTGCTACAGAGAAGGCCAACCTCACCCGCTACACACACACACACACACACACACATACACACACACACACACATACACACACACACACACGCACGCACATACACCCCTCTGCCCTGGCCCCTGTCTTTGATGGTAACATGTGAAATCAGGAAGCGGCTAGCTCTTGAGTGAAGTTGTATCGAAATGAATCCATCAAGACAAATGGGATCTTGATTTTCTCTCTGTTTCCTGGTTACAGTTTCCTGAGTGGAAGCGTAGATGGTGACAGCGTGCTTTCAAGAGAAAATGAAGTGAGATGGATGTTGGCATGAACAGAAAATGCGAGTGTTGGCCCAGACTCTTGGTGCGCGGAATGGCTCTGCCTGTGGACTTGTGATCTTCTGCCTCCAAACTCTTAAAGAGTCACATAACAAAATGACGTAACACACATAGAATGACTCCATTCCTGTGCTCCCGACAGCACAAATTAATTAATTATTAATCGCTGGGCTTATTTCTGCAGGGTTCAGATATGGCTCAGACCTTGTGTCTGAACTCACCAGGAGTGGTTATGTCACTTCGTCCGGCATCTTTGTGAGCTCTGCTCTGTGCAAAGTGGAGGCCTGGTGGCTTCTATACATCGGCCCAGGTCTTTGTTTGGCTCATTTTTAGCTTTCTTCTGTACTGTTCACCAGTCTATATTTGAGAGCCCAGAGACACCACTGTCAGAGAGTGCTCATTAGAAGCTCGTGTGTTGGGACATGCCTAACACTATAGTTGGTGTCCTGGCACTCAAGAGGATGAGGCAGGAGGATCATGAGTTTGAGCCTGGGTCACATAGCGAATCTGAGGCCAGCCTGATATATTTGACAAGACCCTGGAGAAGGGGGTAGATTGATTCTTTGGTACTCACTCAACATTTTTTATTTTTATTTATTTTTTTTTTTAAAGCCAGCTGGACTGTGACTGAAAAAGCATGGGATAAAACTGGACTCTCTCATCATGGCGAACAATGAGGACTAATGAGAAGCCAAGGTCAATGGCAAGGGGTTTTGATCCTACTTCATGTTCTGGCTTGATGGGAGCCTAGCCAGTTTGGATGTTCACCTTCCTAGACATGGACGGAGGGGGGAGGACCTTGGACTTTCCACAGGGCAGGGAACCATGACTGCTCTTTGGATAGGAGAGGGAGGGGGAGAGGAGTGGGG